ACTAGGGTTTCAGCCAGTCTGGCTTTGTAGGTTTCTTAGCTAGTGATAAGCTAGTATAGAAGGGGACAAGTAGCCAAAATAACTAAGTCAAAAGAATTAATTGTTCAAGCTTAAAATTAAAAGACACCATTGTAAGCAGAATACAGAGGGAGTAAGAGTTAGAAAGCAGTTAATTTAAACCAAAACTTTGGTTCCCTAAACTGGATGCCAATTAGAATACCTAAAGCAGGATTTGGGGGAGAAGGAAATGAAGGTTTGTATTAATAAAGTAAAGTAGCCAGACCCTATCCCAAGGAGAAAGGTGGGTCTTTACAGAGATCCCAACACACTCAGAAACTCCCGGGGATCACCTTCCTCCTGTGGAACTGTCAGCTCCTAGGCCTCACTGATCAGCCTCCAGCACACCTCTTCACGTGAGGCGACGTGCACACATACTAGCATCTTAGTTTCTTACTCTTGGAAGAAGAAGAAGAAGAAATACAAGCAGACTTTCTGTTTTCTTTACATCTCACTTGGTCAGCCCCAAGTTCAGCCCCCATGAATGGAACAAATCCAGTTCCTTGGGGCTTTCTCAGCGCCATGCCCTGTAAAAATGCTGCCCTTCCTCACCAGTGCAACTGGGGACATTTACAAAGCTATTTCAGAGGTAACTTGTTGCACATTGCATTTCTCTTGGACAAGTGACTGCCTTGCCTTCAGCCTTCAGCAGAAGGCAAACAGTGCTGAAGTTTGGAAGCAGTGATACATTCTTAGCCTCACCATCTTTCTGTTGTCTCTGAGACCCTCAGCTCTCCTCTCCCCTGCAGATTCTGCACAAGTGTGTCTGTTACTTTTGCTCCTGAGTATCACTGAGGCTTTCCCTTTAAACAACTGAGAATTGACAAAAAAAAAATGGAACTGGAGGGGTTCTTGAAGTTACCTATGTAAATATGGGGTATTCATGGTAACATTTACACTGTTAAGTGTCCCACTGGACACTATTGAAAATGAACTATTTAACTTGTGGGTAGAGATGGAAGGAAGGGAAAAACTAGAAGAGAGTGAGGGGAGGAATGACATTGTCCAAAAAGAAATGTACTCTTTTTTTTCATTTCCTGGAGTTCATTTTTTTATTAATAAGTTTTTTATTGTGAAAATACCATACAGAGGGGTTACAATTACATGAGCAAGGTAATGAGTACATTTCTTATCAAGTATTGTTGCCTCCTCCTTTGTTTCCCCTTACCATCCCTGCCCTCCCACCTCCCCCCCAGAAATGTACTCTTGACTTACGTAATTGTAACGTTGATACATCATCTTTATAAATAACAAATTTTTTAAAGAAATTAGAGCCCATAAGATATAAAGCACATTCCTTCACTTCCACCTATTTTCATTCCCCTGTGGTACAGCCTGAATAGTATAGCAGAAAAGTAAGATTTTAGAAAATGTACTGATCAAAATTGACTTTCTTTAAAAACAAAACAAAACAAAAACTGATAGGGCCTAATATGAGTTTTTTATACTGTACTCACTTTCATTGTTATAGATTTTTTAAGTAGCAAATTTTCAATAGCCAAATAAGGTATTTAAAGTAACCAAAAGGCTTGTGAGAGTATAATGACCAACCTGTTTGCAGGCTGTGAACAGAAGCCATGCAGTAACACCTTAACTGCCCACAGCTCTGGAAGAATTCAAGCTCATTTCCAAATCATTGAGATTTGCTTGCCTTTTAGAAGCATTTTTATGGGAAAAAATGGTTTTATTATGTCCTTTCTTAGTCATAGTAGATTTATTTTCATGTTTTGATGAAACATCATCTTTATTCTAAGTATCAGTAGGGCTATATTTAAAAAGCACATGATATTTTCAGAGTCTTTAAAACTTACTTGATTCTCCCAATATTCAAGTTTTTCTTCTTGCCATTGGCCCTGGTCTGCCCAGGAGCTTGGACGGGCTGTTCAGCTCTCAGAATCCTTTTCCTCTCAGATGGGTCCTATAGTACCTACTCCACGCTACTGTTTGAAGGGTCCAGAGGAAAATGGTCCTAAAGGTAGCAGCCATCTGTGAGGGGGCTCTCAATGGGGTGCTGGGTGGCTCTTCGAGATGACTATAGGCTTCTTAGTTCTCTGTAGTACTGAGACAGTGAGATTGCCAGAGGCCATCCCAATGGACAAGCTGTGGCAGCAACCATGAACACATTTAAGGCACCTTGGCCCTTCGGAATATGAGCAGAGTTATGGAATGAAAGCGGGTCAAAGGCAAACAAGGAAACTCAGAAAATGAACCCTGTTCATAAACAGGGTATTTGGATGGTAAGGTCCCTGTAATTCTAACTGGGTGTACAGTGTTTAGAATCAGATGCTTGTTCTCGGGTCTCTAAAGCGGGTGCTATGCACCACTCCAGCTCCCAGCTTGTGCTCTGCTTTCCTCAACATTCAGCATGGCAAATGAGGAAAGCACCCCTTCACACAAAGGGGCTATGAAACTGAGAGAGCACTGTCTATGTACCATCTGTATCTGAGGCTACCATTGGACACAAAGTGAGCTAGGAAACAATCACACATCCCCTGACCTCACAGCCTGCCCCCTCCCGGAGAAGACCCTGAGCAGATCACTAGCTGTGCAAAACAATTGGAAGTGCCGAGTGCTTAGAGCAGTGTGTCTTAGCTAACCTAAGAAGTAAGAAAAGGCCTTCAAAAAATAAACCTGTACTGTACATTGACAATTAGTGAGCAGCAGCAAGAACTGTGGGCCAGAGCCAAACACAGTGTGCTGAAGGACAGCAGGAGCCCACGTGCTCCCAGGCGTTCTGTGGGGTGAGGCCAGCGTGGGAAGGTTAATCTCCAGACCCCTTACACTCCTAAAAGTAGCTAGGACCCCAACAGTTGCTGTTTACGTGACTCTTGGCTATTAGCATTGACTTATTCAAAATTAACCAGAGGAAAAATTCTAACATGTATTTATTAACGCATTAATAAACTTATTACATCTTGACAGAAGTTAGCATTGTTTTGAAGAGAGATGTATTTTCCAAAACAAAGTTAACTTTAGTGAGCATACATTGTTTTATTATATCACAAATCTCTGTAATGCCTCACTTACTAGGTGATGCCTGGGCCCTTCGATGTGTTTCTGCATTCACACTCTGGTCATTCACACTCTGATCATTGTTGCTGTGGTTGCATGTAGGAAGACATGGTTGGAAAAGAGAAGACTATTTCAATGGCCATTCCAGAGAGTGTTGGACATTTTCTGTGATAGTGCACCAAAATTTTGGAGTAGCTTCTTATAGGAACCTACAGTGTGAAGTGTGAAAGTGTATCAATAAGCTATCTGCATATTTTATCCCTTTAAAATCTAGTGGCAGCTGGGCACTGGGGGCTCACGCCTGTCATCCTAGCTACTCAGGAGGCTGAGATCTGAGGATTGTAGTCCAAAGCCAGCCAGGGCAGGAAAGTCCCCGAGACTCATATCTCCAATAAACTGCCAAAAAAGCAGGACTGGAAAAAAAAAAGAGAGATATAACTCAAATAGTAAAGCACTATCCTTGAGCAAAAAAGCTCAGGGACAGTGTCCAGGCCCTGAGTTCAAGCCTCAGTAACTGCACCCAAAATAAATAAATACCCACAAAGCTTAGTTGCACCTTAATAATAACAATATAATTGTTTTAGATTCTCATTTCCCGTCTGCCTTGCACATTCAGTGACTTTGGCTCTGATATTACACCATTTGTTAACTCACTTGGAAAATACTGTTTCACAGAGTTACACGAATCTGCTGAGACACTTGGCCACTCTTTGACACCTTTTCAGTACATATATCAACAACTGCCACTTACCATTATACAGATCCCATATTCAGCCCAGGGAAGCCAGCAGGCATACACTGACAGGTTTCCCAAACTTCCCAGAATACCAGCCAGTCATAGCAACAGTGTTTGAACCCAGCTTCATCAGTTGCCACCCTTTAGTAATCCTCTAAATCTGTTTATCTTAGTTGTCTTTTTGCAAAACTTAAGTGGAAAAAAATGTCAATACATTTATTTATAGCTTCGGTGTGTCTGGTCCAGGTAAGCACTAACTAAATAGTGGTTACTATCATTACTTCCATTTCGCTAATAGTGTCATCATGAGTGCTATCCCTCATCACATGTGCTGTACATTGACTGTAGACCAGAAAAAAGCAGTAGAATGGGCTTTGAGGAGCACTAAGGAGATGCTTTTATTGGAGATCTGTAACAGGTTGTTTCTGTGACAGCCACTGTAGCCTCCCCTGTGGCAGTTTAGAGCAAGGGGAAGCACCCTTCCCCTCTAACCCTTTCCACCAGTGCTCTACCTGTGTTCTGCAGTCACCTGGTGTAAATGTACCCACACCCTCACCCCAACTAGAGACGTACCACTCGCCTCTTGTTCTTGTTTCCCCTGGCTAGTGCCTTGACTGTAAACTTGGATGCTTAGAATTTGTCCAGAGAATGCATGAAAGGGGGATTTGTCTTGAGCAGTACTCTCAGTGTGGTTTGAAAGAATGAAAAAAAAAGTACTCTTTCATACCAGACACATGATCTGAGCAGTGATGAGCTTAACTCGCTTCTCAAGTCAGACATATGATCTGAGAAGTGACAAGCTTTTACTTTTTCACTTGTTTAAGAAATGTAATGTGGGGCTGAGAAGGTGGCTCAGTGGTAGAGCGCTTGCCTTGCATGCATGAGGCCCTGGGTTCAATTCCTCAGCACCACATAAGCAAACAGAAAAAAGCCGGAAGTGGTGCTGTGGCTCAAGTGGTAGAGCGCTAGCCTTGAGCTGAAGAGCTGAGGGACAGCGCCCAGGCCCAGAGTTCAGGCCCCACGACCGGACCCAAAAAAAAAAAAAAGAAATGTAATGTTTCTTTGCCTCAACCCCATCTCTTTTTTTCTTGAACTTCTGTTAATTCAGAATAAAAACGGACCCTAAAAAGTGGTTCATAGCCCCTTTGCATTAAGCAAATTTTGTGATCAATATGTTTTACTTTCTGCTTTGCAGATGTTCCTCCTGCAGATCAAGAGAAGCTTTTTATCCAGAAGTTACGTCAGTGTTGTGTCCTCTTTGACTTTGTTTCTGACCCACTGAGTGACCTAAAGTGGAAGGAAGTAAAACGAGCTGCTTTAAGTGAAATGGTAGAATATATCACCCATAATCGGAATGTGATCACAGAGCCCATTTACCCGGAAGTAGTCCATATGGTAAGTGACTGCAGTTTAACCTTGAGTCCCAGCCGGAGCTGCCACTCTTCCTCCGCTAAGACACATGTGTTCACCTAGGACGAATGGGGGCTTTCTCTATAGCGTGTACGAGACCAGAAGGGTCATGATAGTGACAGAATTCATTGCCTCTTAGGAACCTGGGTATAATATATAATAATTGCTTATATAATAGACCCTTTATATTTATTAACTCCCTCAGTCCCCAGAAACTACCCTGGGGATAGAAATGCTAAAACTTTAATTTGCATTTATTCTCTTACCATCTTCAAAACTTTTTGTGTTTTCTTAACATATCTAACAGTAGTGTACTAGCACCTTTATTTAGTTTAGAAGTAAATGTTTTCCATACCCATGAAGAAAAATTCTAATGATGTAGAGTTAAAATACTGGTGGGACCAAGCTGATGTCAGAGCAGCCCATGCTAATTGGCTGACAAGCTTCTATCAATCAATGCTGGGATTAGGATAATATGTGGTGATTGGCTGAGACAGTCTACCATGAGTTAATCAGAGTGTTTCAGCCCCTAACCTCAGTCCTCTGAAGAACTGTTTCTCGAGGCCATCTGCAACTATCTTTACTTTTTCCTTTTGTTGACTCAGGCAGTACTACCTGAGACATTTCCTGTGATGCTGCTACCAAAAGTTGATACAGAATAACTGGTGTGTGGGACTTATTTTTTCTGCTACTATCTTGCCTGCCTTTCAATCAGCCTTGTTCTCTCCCTCTCTCCCTTGCTCTCTCCCTCCAGTTATTGATGGGTCATTATTGCTTAATATAGGATTTTAAATTCTGATTTTTTTCATTGAATTCTTTATTCAAAGTTTTTGATGTTTCCCCCAACTGACGTTTCAGCATTGACTGCCTTCTTGACTGAAAATACTTTTATTTCTTCCTTAATATGTGTTATGGTTTGAAAATGCAGTGTTTTCCCCTAACTGGGTACTGGTAGCTCACACTTGTAATCCTAGCTACTCAGGAGGCTAAGATCTGAGAATTGCAGATCAAAATCAGCCCAGGCAAGAAAGTCTGTAAGACTCTTATTTTCAGTTAACCACCAGAAAAAAAAGTGGTGCCGTGGCTCAAAGTGCAAAGCGCTAGCCTTGAGCAAAAGAGTTCAGGGACAGGGGGCTGAGAAGGTGGCTCAGTGGTAGAGCGCTTGCCTTCCATGCATGAGGCCCTGGGTTTGATTCCTCAGCACCACATAAGCAGAAAAGGCTAGAATTGGTGCTGTGGCTCAACTGGTAGAGTGCTTGCCTTGGGCTGAAGAGCTCAAGGACAGCACCAAGGCCAAGTTCAAGCCCCATGACCGACAAATAAAAAAAAAAAAAAGAACTAGCCTGGCGCTGGTGGCTCATGCCTGTAATCCTAGCTACTCAGGAGGCTGAGATCTGAGGATTGCAGTTCAAAGCCAGCCTGGGCAGGAAAGACTGTGAGACTCCTATCTCCAATAAACCACCAGAAAACCGGAAGTGGTGCTGTAGCTCAAGTGGTAGAGTGCTAGCTTTGAGCTGAAGAGCTGAGGGACAGCGCTCAAGCCCAGAGTTCAAGCCCCATGACCAACAAAACGAGAGAGAGGGAGAGAGAGAGAGAGAGGAGAGAGCGCTGCTCTCCCTGTAGGCCTGTGTCTTCAAGCCTGGTCCATAGCTGGAGGCAATGTGTTGAGAGGCTACAGAACCTCGGGGGTCCACGCCTAGAGGAAGGTAACAGAGCGTATGTCTTTGAAGCCCATGTTGAGTCCCCAGTCTGTTCCCATACTCTCCTCTTGCCTCTTTTCTTCTGTGTCCCTGCTTCCTATCCACCATGATACAAATAAGTACTGTGAAACCATGAGCCCAAATCCATCTGTTTTGTCAGATATTAGGTCACAGAGATGGGAAAAGTTAGTACAGTGTCTCATGGCTCTGACTAAACCTGACCATGTGGTTCCTCAGCCTTTGGAACTGGTTTGTGGAAAGGATTTGGAAGAGTTTGGAGAAGTAGGCTAGGATGCCATACGCAGATGGGTGCCGCTGGTGGGGGCTCAGAAGACCAGGATGCTCATCAGCATGCAGGCAGAAAGCCGGCACCGTGAGGGTTCAGAAGGGAACGGACTGCCTCCACTTGGAATTCGACTAGAGGCATGCGAGTCACACTTGACAGGAACTGGTCTCTATTTTGTCCATATCCTGAGGATTTGGAGGAGATATTTTAAAGGCATTCCAGCATTTAGGCTCTGGCAGTGGCTATTGCTAGCTGCTTTTAGCCAGGATTACAGTGAGAATTATGAGCAAAATGCAAAACAGAAAGACTTGGAAAAGAGAGGACTTGGGTCCAGAAACCCTGAGTAGCAAAGGGAGGTAGGGTTGCTGAAGAGATTAGAACATTAAAAAGAAGCCTAGCGGGGCTGGGAAGGTGGCTCAGTGGTAGAGCACTTGCCTTGCATGCCTGAGGCCCTGGGTTCGATTCCTCAGCACCACATAAGCAAA